CACAACCATTTCTGCGTTTATTTCAAAGTTGTTTTTACTTCAGACCTTTTGAAATGTTTAATTGTGGCAACGATTATGTTTAACGGTATTTTTAACTGTCTGTGTATTCCTTTATATCGATTTCCTGCTTTGTGTAGATAATCAACCATCTTTCTCCGTCTGTCTCTGAATACTCTTTTTGTTTCTCCCCCATGGCGGTTGATGATGAAGGGATTTTAAATATGTGCAACCCCATATTGAAGCTCATGGAAGTGGCAACAAAATAGATCCTGGGGACTGTGAGCAATTTAAAAAGAATGTAATATCTTCAGGGTTAATGTAAAATGCAGTACTTAAAACTCAGTAACTCATTTGTTTGGGCAAATCTAAGAATCGGTGTTAGAGTCCATAATGGAGGTCAAAATATAGACAGACAACATCAAACAAGAATAAGCCACAAACTTTGACAAGGTCTGAAAAACAAGGCTTGGACTAAAATGAACTGATTACATGATAAGAATTCGAAACAATACTGTACATGATACAACAGGGTATACACAGACAAACACTGAACAGTGATCACAATAAGGTAACAAACACAAAGACAGGACTAGAACAGAAACAAAAGCAGATGGGGAACCCAAAACAAAACGCATGATGCAAAGGGGGAATTTCTGACAGATTTGCATTTAAGATATTTGTGATCAGTAAAAAGAGAGGAAATATTATTTTGCAAAAGATGTTTTAGTAGAGGATCTGTAAGTGTCTCTTTTCCTACTAAATTATACACAAATGACAGTCCAAACAAACCAGACAGAAGTATACAAAGCAATGTCAAGTAGTGTCAAGGGCAGAGTGATCCAATCAGGAGCTGTGGAACAGTCTTAACGAGTGTTTACACATGCAATCTACTCTGACAAAACTTATTTTCGGGCAATCTTTGCTAATGATTTAATAAGGGGTGTCAGCTACTCATGTAGCAATCACGCCGTGACATAATTATCTTCTAAAACCTTGCTGGCAGCAGTAAAAACCTTAAGTTTAGTGTTCACAACAATGTCTTAATTTTCTTTCACACACTATTTCTGTTTTAAACAGGAGTGATTGGGACGGGTCACTTCTGCTCCCGCCGTGGTTTCTCCGAGGCTGTGAGGAACAGCGTTGTCCATCTCGTACCCCTGACCCGCCGCCTCTGGCAAACCACCAAGCTGAAGATGCTGCCCACACCGGCCAACTTTCATTACATCTTCAACCTACGGGACCTTTCCCGTATCTGGCAGGGCATGCTGAATGTCACGGCTGACGTGGTCCATTCACCCACTGTAATGTCTGATACCAAGAGTTTTTACTAAAAACCAAAGCATTGTTTGAATCACATGTTCACACAGTGATAAACCCTGATTTATTATGCATACGATAAGCAAACATTTAGATTTATTACACTTTCACAAGTATTTCTCGGATTAAAATTATAATTAGTTCTTGATGATGACTGATGGAAAAAGAACTTCAAATAGAGAATACGCTTAGCATCAAGGCATTTAGGCTGATACAAATGCCAGCGATGTAAACTCCGGCAGTTAAACTGATGAAATTCATGATAGATAAACTTACAGACTATTGACAGTTTATTTTTACCAAATCCAGTAGCCTGGTTGGATGGCTGAAGAAGTAAGGATTGCAGAAATTAGCAGAAAAATATCCCAGAGATAACCCAGAATAAAGCTGCAAGGTGGGATAGGATAGGACAGATGGCTTTTTTTTATAGCACTTATAGGATAGGATAGAATATAATAGATTAGGACAGCCCAGAATAGTACGGTATAGAATAAAATGGGATAGGATAGGACAGAGCAGCATGAGGTGGTATTTCAATAGAAAAATCAGCTATACATTTCTATAGAACTGGTCACTGGTGCCTTAACCAGCAGTTAGCTAGCCTGGGTGCAGTGGTATGGACAACTCACTAGGATGAAGCTAAAAAATGAGAAATTTTGGGAAAAGCCATGATTCAATGGCAGTTCATTCTCCCCTGCCCGGTAATAGAAATTTGAAAAAACAGGATAAGATATGACATGATAGGGTAGGATAGCATGGGATGATATGGGATGGAATATATTGGGATAGGATAGGCTCAGATTGGATAGTATAGGGTAGGATAGGACAGCATGGGATGATATGGTATGGAATATATTGGGATAGTATAGGCTCAGTTCCGATATGATGGGATAGGATAGCATGATATTTGATGGAATGAATTGGGATATGATCAGATAGGATGGGGTAGGATTGTACAGGATAGAATGGAATTTCTATAGAAAAATAAGCTACACAATCATCAGTACCTTAGTTCTCAGTGAGCAAGCCAGTGGCTAGTGGCATTGACAACACCATATGATGGAGATAATGAGAAACTTTGGGAAAAGCCATGACGCCATGGCCAGCACTGCACATAAGATACTCGTTATCATGCAGTTTTAGCTTTTATCATTGACCCCTGATTCACTCTTCATCCTGAAGGTCCTCCTGCATCTATGGAAGCATGAGTGTAAACGCGTAATTGCGGACCGCTTCACGAGCCCCGACGACGTGGACTGGTTTGACCTAACACTGGCCGACCTGGCACAGCAAGAGCTGGGTGACGACGCCTGCACGGTTGTGGAAGTCGGAGCGGATGCCTACTTTGTGGACTTTCTCCGGGATGCACCTGAGGCTACAGGTACCACCAGAACCAGACAGAAAACCATCAGAATCATTTTGCTGGAAACAAATGCGATCCCCAATCTAGTAAACATTCTGATTTTTATGACTGTCTGATTTTGAGAATGATCGCTTTAATTAGATGGTTTCAACTATGATGAATTGTATCTGAGCAGGGGAGGAACCTGAGGAAACCAGCTTCGACATGCCGAAAGTGTACGAGCCCATCATTTCCTTTAGTGACCTGTGCGACAGACTGAACATGTTCCTGGATTTGTACAACGAGAGCATCCGAGGAGCTGGCATGGACCTGGTGTTCTTCACCGATGCTATGGTCCACCTGGTCAAGGTATACGGAAGCCCCCTGATCTTGTAAACCTTGTCAAAATAACTAAAAAATGGTGTGTTTGTGCTTGTTCTAATAAAGTATTGTTTCAAATTCATGTTTCCTTTCCCATAATCTACGACTACCACCCAGTCCCAACCCCCAGTGTTTTAAATGCAACCTACAAAGCTATCTTAATGATAATGATCATTTATCACATATACATTAGAGCACAGTGAAATACTTTTTTCTTCGCATATCCCAGCATGTCAGGAACCTGGGGTCAGAACGCAGGGTCAGCCATGATACAGCGCCCCCTGGAGCAATGAGGGTTAAGGGCCTTGCTCAAGGGTTCAACAGTGGCAGCTTGGCAGTGCTGGGGTTTGAACCCCGACCTTTCGTAACCCAGAGCCTTAACCATCAAGCCACCACTGCCCCCATATTTGCTGATCTGGATTGCAAAAAATGTTGTACAGCCCACATTTTAGTATGCCAACAAGCAACTGTCACACAGAATTGTTGGTTATGACTTGAATTGAAATCTCTTTTTTTCTCTCTCTCTCTCTCTCTTTCTCTCTCTCTCTCTCTCTCTCTCTCGGTCAGGTCTCTCGGATAATCCGGACCCCCCGCGGGAATGCACTCCTAGTTGGCGTAGGCGGTTCAGGCAAGCAGAGTCTGACGAGACTGGCATCTTTCATCGCTGGCTACAAAACTTTTCAGATCACGCTGACACGGTGAGGCAGCCATCGCACACACCTGCTCTATTATTTATCCCGTTTCCATAGGCTATTTAAATGATCTAGTCCTTAAAAATATTCGCTGTAGGCTCGGAAGAATATTGAGAAAATGAAAAACAAATTAAGACAGGAAATCTAAATAAATCTAAAGAAAACAAATAAACAGAAACACAGTAATTGACAGTTTTCTGTACTTATTTTAAATACAATGTAATGTAAAAAAAAAAAAAGGTTTAAAATAGTTTATGGAATAATTCATAATGAATTATGCAGTTTAAAATGGTAGAAAAAAAATAACACAAATTATACAGAATTAAAGAATGCACGATAAATGTGGAAAAAAAGCTCATTAAGTACAAACCACACAATAATATGGATTTGTAGATATCTTTATATAGAACGACAAACTACTCAGACATACCATATGTAGAAATGACAGAAAAATGACTAAAATGTAAAAAAATAACCAGTATTTAGAACAGCGTACAGAATATTCAGACGGATTTCAGTTTCACGCATATGTTTTTCATCAGCTGGTTAAAAATGTGTATTTATATCGATGTGAAAGAGGTGATGCAGCGTGCAAATTGGCCAAGATTCCTGCTGAAGTGTGAGTGTTATAAAGATGTGTGTGTGTGTGTGTGTTCTCTTGGGAGAAAACAGATGGCTTTCAGCTTGTTCCATCCAAAACGCAGACTGCTCACGATTCTCAGCAATCACAGTGTCTCATCACATCATGTTCCAAAACCGGGGCACACACACACACACACACACACACACACACACACACACACACACACACACACACACACACACACACACACACACACACAGAAAGGGGTATGTCTTGAAATTTTTTAACTAAAATTTAAAATGGGATGGCTGATGTGAAATTAGTGGAAAAAAATAGCACATTAAATGTATTTACTGTTATGGGGATTTATTAACCCTATCTCTACCTACACACTACATAAAAAAATATGAAAAAAAGAAAAAACATTTTCAGTACAACAATGTTCTTAAAATAATAAGAAGTAAATATAAAAAAAGTTATTAAATTAAAAAATTAAAAAAAGTTTGCTTTGCAGTACATGGGAGATATGTGTTTATTACAGAAACAAAGTAAAGGTATAAAAAAGAGTGTTGGTAATAATGCTAAAAAATATAAAGTAAATATATTTATGAATAGAAATGATACTAAATGTAGAAGAAAACAAAACGTTACACAGTCAATGGAAAACATATAAACTATTAGGATGGGTGCAGTGGCTTAGTGGTTAGCTTCACACCTCCAGGGTTGGGGGTTCGAATCCCACCTTTGCCCTGTGTGTGCAGAGTTTGCATCATCTCCCCGTGCTTTGGAGGTTTCCTCTGGGTACTCTGGTTTCCTCCCCCAGTCCAAAGATGTGCGTTGCAGGCTGATTGACATTTCCAAATTGTCAACAGTGTTTGAATGTGTGCACGATTGTACTGTGCATTGGGTTGGCACTCCATCCAGGGTGTCCCCCGCCTTTTGCCCCGAGTTTCCTTGGATAAGCTCTAGGCTTCACCGTGACCCAGTGTCTGATAAGCAGTATAGAAGATGGATGGCTGTAGCTGACATGTACTGTATTGATAGAATAAAAGTGTGTGCGTGGTGAACTGTGATGAACTGATGTCCCAGTCCAGGGGGTGTCCCTGCCTCACACTCAGTCCCAGTCCCAGTCTCCAGATCCACCAGGACCCTAATTAGGATAAAACGCTTCCTCAGGATGAATGAACGAATATGAAAAATAATGTCTAAAATGGTACATAAGCTATAATAATTCTTTTTTCGCCATGTGCAGGTCGTATAATACTCCTAACCTGATGGAGGATCTGAAGGCGCTCTACAGGACGGCGGGGCAGCAGGGACGAGGCGTTACCTTTATCTTCACCGACAATGAGATTAAAGACGAAGCCTTCCTCGAGTATATGAACAATGTGCTCTCGTCTGGAGAGGTCTCTCGTTCTCTCTTTCTCACACACACACACAAAATACTTTCTAACCATCCCACAATTTCAGCGTCCTGTTGCCTAGAGAGGATGAAAAGTTTGGTGTACACACACACACACACACACACACACACGCACATTCATAAACCGTGAGGTGATAGATGGTGACCTTATTCTTAAACACATCATTCCAGACACATATCATCTACTCACTCACACACACATACTGATGACATTCTGAGAAAAAGACATAGGGAGACTTTAGAGATGAAGAGAGAAGACAAACAAAGAAGTGATTGTGGGTCTGTGGGTTGAAGCCCGCCGGGAGTGATCTGTTTATCGTCTCGCAACCCTGGCTGCATCAACCACTTTCCCTCAAGCCTTTATCATTAATCAGGCAATTAAACACTCGAAGAGCTTATAATGTACAGCATTGGGAAAGTCAAGCTGTTTTTATTTTCTCATTTATCAAACACTAATATGATATGGTAATTGTTTCAGATTTTATTCAAGTGTTATAAGTGTTATTTAAACCAACCAGTTTAGTTAAATGTTGCTTCAAATGATTTTTTTTCTCAATATTTTGTGCTTTGACTTGGACAGACCAGCCCAGAGACCACACCTCTTTTACTAAGATTGACAGAAACAAAGGTTATGGCTTCTTTTACGGGGACAGGCAGACCAGCCTTGCCTCCTTTGCTGAGACTAATAGACACTTGGGTCAATGCTCTTTCACTGAGACTTATAGAGGCCACCGTTCCTTCACTAAGCTCAACAGAGGCCATGCCTCCTTCACGGTGTACGTCAAGCACTGAGGCCATGTTCCATGTCACAAGTACTGGGACTGACAGGCACAGACCCCACATCTCCTTTACTACTTCCACTAGAACTGACAGGCACAGAGTCCATGACTCTTTTACTTTGTTTTTTGCTGGGAAAAAAAGAGAGTTACAAACCTCATGCTTCCTTTACTTCTACCACTAGATCTGACAGGCACAGAGCCCTGCATGTGATTCAATTGTGTATATGACTAGTTCACTAAAATGACTCCAGAAACATGGCGTTCTCTGCAGGTATCTAACCTTTTTGCACGTGATGAGATCGATGAGATCCTCAGCGACCTTGTGCCAGTCATGAAACGAGAGTTTCCACGGCGACCGCCCACCAACGAGAGCCTGCGTGACTTCTTTATGAGCCGCGTAAGGCAGAACCTGCATGTGGTGCTGTGCTTTTCACCAGTGGGAGAAAAATTCCGCAACAGAGCCTTAAAGTTTCCTGCCCTCATCTCGGGATGCACTATGGACTGGTTCAGCCGCTGGCCTAAGGACGCCCTTGTTGCAGGTCTGCTAAGAATTATATGTGCACAACACTGCATTTAAGGGTTACATTGCTTATATTAAGCAGATATTTGCCTATTTAACACACCTTTTAAGTGGTACTTCAGCATGGAATGGGAAGGGGAAGAGATACAGTTGGGGTAGAGATGGAGGTAGAACCTATGAAGAGGTACACAGCAAGCAGAGATGGAAATAGGACTGGGTAAATATGAGCAAAGAAGTCTGTGAAATATTGCTGTTATTGTTTACCCTTTTGATCTTTTGATCTTTTAGAAAAAGCAACAATTATTGGCACCTTTTAGTCAATACTTTGTGCTACCTCCCTTTGCCAAGATAACAGCTCTGAGTCTTCTCCTATAATGCCTGATGAGGTTGGAGAATACATGGTAAGGGATCTGACACCATTCCTCCATACAGAATTTCTCCAGATCCTTCAAACGCTGGTGAACTGTCCTCTTCCATTCACTCCACAGGTTGTTTCAAGTCAGGGGATGGCCATGGCAGGACCTTGATTTTGATGTATGTTTTGGATCATTGTCCTGCTGGAAAATCCAACCATGGCTCATTTTAAGCTTTCTGGCAGAGGCAGTCAGGTTTCATTTAATATTAGTTGACATTTGATTTGACATTTGAGTCATGATGCCATGTCAAATGGCAAAATGTCCAGGTCCTCTTTCAGAAAAACAGCCCCAAAACATTAAAGAGCCAGCACCATATTTAACCGTGGGCATGAGGTACTTTTCCTTATGGCTACCTCTCTGTCTGCACCAAAACCACCTCTGGTGCTTATTACCAAAAAGCTCTATTTTGGTTTCATCTGACCATAGAACACGATTCCATTTGAAGTTCCAGTCGTGTCTGGCAAACTGACGACACTTGAGTTTTGTTGTTTTCGGATGAGAGTAGAGATTCTTTTCTTGAAACCCTTCCATCCATGAGAGCAAAGTATTTTTGTGAATCTTTTGAACAAATTATCAAGAGGTTAAACAATAAATGATAATTTTTCACAGCCTTCTTTGCTCATATTTCAATGGTGAATGGGGACAGAGATACAGCCTTTGGGTGCATGGTGTGTGGACAAGACCTTTTGGGATGGGGTGGAAATATTGATACAGTAGGCAGGTATGGGTTGGAGATATAGATTGTGCCTACTGGGATAGGGTAGGGATGGTATGAGACCTATGGTGGTGGAGTGGGGTACAGAATAGAGCCTACAAGAGTGGGGAGGGGATAGGGATGAAATCAGCAAGGATGTATTTGGGCCTTTTTAGTCGGTATAGGGATGTTGGTGCCTAAAAGAATGAATTGCAGACAGAGAAATATGGCCTACAGGGATGGTATTTGCATAAAAGGTGTAATGTGAAACTGAGCAATGAAGTAGCCTGAACAACTCAGACATGTTCCTGAAAATTGTGGACTTTAAAAGGGTAACTGAGAGTAAGCAATTGCTTGTTTGATCTAAACTCTTCAGCTTCCTTTATTACCAGCAAATGGTTTTTCATTTGTCCCCAGTCTCCACTGTGAAGTGGGCAAATAGGACCATTTTTTGTGCAATTGGTCAGGTCTCAATTTATCCAAGGGCAGAAATGAATGACAATTATGAAGACTGGCACGGCAGCAAGCCTAAGGGGTGTCAATTCTAGATGGTGCTGATTGTTGGATAAATTGAGCCTTTGCTACCTACATTTTCTGTTCTTGCTTTTTAGTTTCAAACTTTCTTTTTTTGAGTTCTAATAATCCTTTCAGACTCTCTTCTCACTCTGAAAAATGTAACCCGAAACTGATACTAGTGCCTGTTGAAGGAGTGAGAAAGAAGGCATGTAGATAGATAGATAGATAGATACTTTATTGATCCCCACAAGGAAATTCAGGGTCCTAGTAGCTCAAAGACATCACACACAATACAGCATACATGTGGTTTCCTTGGCAGCAATAACAGTATGGTTTATGTTCATTTGCAATCAGTTTTTCATTAAACAATATACAAAAATTTACAGTTCCTTCTTGGCAAAGTCCTGATTTGTCCATCCAGGGTGTCATCTACTGTACCTAGTTATAGTTAAGCTAGTAAAGTAACCTAACAACCACCAAGATGCCAATGGGAAATGGGCAAAAATGAAAACATTGACAACTGGTTTTGTGTCATTTTTTTTTTTTTCCCAGTCTCCGAGCACTTTCTATCCACGTACGATATCGACTGCTCGCTGCAGGTGAAACAGGAAGTGGTGCAGTGCATGGGTTCCTTCCAAGATGGTGTAGCTGAAAAGTGTGTCGAGTATTTCCAGCGATATCGGCGCTCGACCCATGTAACGCCAAAGTCGTACCTCTCCTTCATTCAGGGCTACAAGGGCATCTACAAGGAGAAGCATTCCGAAGTTCAGACCCTCGCTAACCGGTACACCCACTGCAAAATTATTACCCCTGACGTACAAGAGTTTAAAATGGTTTACAGTAGGGCACAAACGTTCTAATCAAGAGTCCTAGACAATTCTTAACATTCTATGCATGGCAGCATAAGGTCACTTGGCTAGACTTTCATCTATCATACATTTCATCTATTATAAAAAAATGGAAACATTTTTCATGTGTAAATATCTCGCCAATGGCAGTGACTACCAGTGGGTACAAAAGAATGAATCCGATCTGATCATGTGACCCTGGCTTGCTTGATTAGACCAGTTATGAGTCATTCTTTGAGGATTGGTTAAGCAAGTCAGTCGAATCGGTTGTATTGAAAAAATGAACGTTGCAGCCAGAGCAAATTTCAGAATTATATAAGTGAAAAACTACAGTAAAAGTAAAAACCAAACAAAACTAAACAAGAAAGGTGAGTTCCCTTTCAAAGGGAACTTCGACGTTGCATTTAGCATAACAGTATGGGGAGCGCCTTGCGCACGTGACCGGTATCTGAAGCTTGTGTAAAATCATACCTCTACTTATAGGCCGCGCGTGAATAAGACTCCAATAATATATAGACTAACCATTTTGTGGTAAAAAAACTCCCTACCCAACT